AAAAATAAATAAATAAATAAATTCTTCTGCTGATCTACAATCGCAAGATTGAAATTTTATTTATCTCGCGTGATACTATTTATTTATTGTATTGTTTTACTCCGATTTCACATGGCATTGTTTCTTTATTATTAATTACATATACACATATATGCATCGCATTTTGATATTTTATTTTCACGTATCACAGATAGAAATTGAAAAAAAAAAATAAAAATAAAAATTATATAAAGATAATAGAAAGCACGGAGTAAGTACATGTAAATTGTTCTAATGATAACACAGTGATTTTATCCGGCATTAGCCTTCCATGATTCGATGCGGAAGATTACCGCGTGCGATAGTACTCGCGTACTGACTTTATAATCCGCCGTCGGCGGAAACGAAAGGCGCGAAGTGAGAGAAAGAAACGGGGAGTTCGCGCCGCGCGGCGGAGTTGTCCCCGCCCTCGATACGAATAATTTATCAATTACTCGCCCCGGTGATTAATCGTCTCAGCGGGTACACTCCATAACACGAGGGAGGAAGAGAACAGAGAATTGCCGAGATTGGCGATGCGCGGTAGATAGGTCATGCAGGCACTTCAATTATTTATTATCGAGCCGCAAGAGGTTGATGCGCGCATGCACTAATATGCAATGGCATAATGTTGATTAATGTTCTTTTGATACTTCCTTAATGCATCTGACAACAATGCGCGCGAATAAATTAACTTTTCTGCGAATATGTAAAACAAAAAAAAAAAAAACAAAAAAAAAATACTAGATTAGATTCCTAATGAAAGTTTCCGACAATGCAAATCGAGAAAAACGAAAAAAAATTCACGTATTTTCCTCCGCGCGCGACTTCCGCATCTGCATACTTCTCGAATTTCACAATCGCTCTTGAGATAGATCCCCGCAGGAGCACGAGAGCGTACAAGATGGATATTCTCATCCCGAAACAAATATCCCCGGTACCTTCGGTCAAGACCGAAGCCGTCGAAGGCAGGCCCATAGATTTAATCGCACAACGCTGTTATCCGTTTCTCTAGCGGACCTATCGTGCCGGTAGATCGTCGGACGTCGATCCACGACACACACAGATCGCGCATACTTACGTCCGATCCCGGCGTCGTTCAACATCTTTTATCGGTTCACTGCGCGCCCCCGTGACACCCGAAAATGACACTCTTCCCAATTTGCTCCCGATTCCGGGAGCGCAAAATTGTTTCCACAAATCTTTCCCGTCAATCGTTTTTACGTAATCAGATGTAATTAGAAAGTAGCGCAAATAAAATATTTCGCGCGCGCGAGTCTCGAATTGACTAGCTTTCTCCTTTTGTGGTGTGCTTCATGTCATCGATCGCGTTATACGCGATCTAGTCTTAAATTCCTCTCGACGTCTTATAACAAGCGTCAGTATGCAAAGTAGAGATACGAGGGCGAGGTAAAAGACGACGAGCGAGCCCGAGTAGGAAGAAGGGACTGCGCGGACGGATAACACACCGCGCGGTTAAATCTATGGCCTGACAAGATGCAACACGCGATGCTATATGAACCTGCCGCGCGTTCCTTGTACTTCCGTGCTCTATGCCGAAGTGCATCTCGAGAAAGTTAAATTATCATGTATGAAAAAAAATAAACTAATTACATTCCATCATTCACATACGCGCGTATACAAATCTCTCGCACGATCAACGAAATGATTTCAACAGAACGCGTTGTAATTGTATTGCATATGGTACAGAGACGGAGTAGATATATGCGGCAATTTTTTTGAACACGAGTTTATAATATCGTCGTTATCAAATATTATAGCTTCTCAAAAGTACGACTAATATTTCACCAAAGGCTTCGACGAAATTCTTTTTGAATTCCACTGAAACGTACGACGTACGGCGTGTACAGGATATCAATGGACATTGCACGAACATCTCACAAGCGGAAACACGCGCAGACGATACCGTCCACTCGGCAGGCTTTATCTCGAAGAATGATGACGATCCGAGCGTGGCGGCATGCTGTTCCCTTAATTCCGGGCGTGCTCCAGGTTGCGTGTTGCGTGCAGCGCGTGCCTCGGGCGCGGGTGTGCCCTCTCGACGCGTTAACGCACACGCACGCACGCACGCACGCGCCGTTCCGAGGCCGAGAGGCGTGCTCGGCGCGGCGCGAGCGCGTCGATCTCTCACCCACACGCGGTTGATCCTCGCGGGCAGGAATCGTCTCTAACAGCGGCTATTGCCGCACTCTTTACGCGTCATCCACGTCGAGATATCGCGCTTAGCACGTTGCCGTAATAATTTTAAGACTCGGCCATCGCGCGCGGTGCGTGCTCGCTCGTCTGTGTTTGACGCACGTGTCCGTCAGCGCGCACGGCCCAGCGCACACGTGCATCTGACACCGATCTAATGTCGAGGATAAGTAAGTCGTGCTTTATGACCGGTACACAAACGCGAATTACAGCCGCGGCGTTTGATACACGCGGTTTGTGTCTCTCGCCGCGGGATTCCTCGACTGACAAGAATAATCGGATAATGATGAATATATATATATATATTGCACCGAGATAAAAATATTTATGTTAAGTAAAAATAATTCGACGTTCTCTTCGAGCGCGTTTCTGGCAATTTTCTTGCTGCGCGCAACAAGATGAGACTAGATTGCATCAAAAGAAATAAAAAAAAAAAAAAAAAAGACGCGGAGTGGCGAAACACGCGGAACTATTTATTACATTGTGGCAACCTGCATTAGATCGCGCGGGATGTAGAAACATCATATTTGACGTCGCTCTTAATCTGAAAATCAATTAGGCCGAAAGCTCGATGCGGCGATGTATCACTCATGCTCGTGTAATTTATATGTCTGTGGTCTCGCGGAAGCCGACCAAAATAAATCTCCTTTAAAGCCGGCGTATATACGGCATCCGTATTTATCACCGCAGGTCTTGAGAATTCATATCGATGTTCTCGGGCAGGAAATTCCAGAAGGAAAGCGCGAACCGCAATCCTCTTAGACGTATCTCTGCCTACCTACGCGAGCGCAATGCGCTCTCGCGTAACTATAACCAGTATGCGAAGATGTAAGAAACAGAAGCGAAGCGTGGAAATCTCTCTCGTGCGCGCTTGTCGTGATCGTCCAAGTGTTCTCTTTCGTCTTTCGCTCTCAATCCCTCCCCCGACTCTTCTCTTTTATTTTTTTTAAATCTATCTCTTTCAGTTCATATACCGGTAGTTACTAGTTCTATTAGTAGTCAGTTGGAGAATCTCCTTGCGCTCGCGTAAGTTGCCGCTGTTAATTCGGTTTTTTTAATCATAAGTACCGGTCTGCTACCGCTTTTCTCCCGCGATATATGTATATACATAGTTTTTTTTTTTTTTTTTTTTGAGTAAATCTCGTGTACTTCTATCAACTCTTTACCACCATCGTGTATTCTCTTTTCGTCGAGACGCAATATCCGTTTAAGTCCGATCTTTTATCTGGTGTAACGCGCATTAATATTTTTCATACAAAGATAGGGAGGAGGCAATATATAACGAGCTGTACACCTAATCGTTCGGATAAAATTCTTTATTCCGAGGATTTAACAATGATACAAACGTTTTGATCCACTATGGGATCTTCTTTCAGTTTGAGGTAAAAACTCTATTGAAGAAGATCCCATAATGGATCGAAATGTTTGTATTGTTGTTAAATCCACGGGATAAAAAAAAATTTTACCCGAAAACATCAGGTGTACATACAGCTCGTCATATTGCCCCCTTCCCCTATCTTTTTATCAAAACATATAACACGAGCACAAAATATAATTTAATATTTTTTGTTGGTATTTATTTCTCAATTTCGTAATTCTATGGCGAATGTTACGGATCGATAAAATACGCGATACACAGAGACTTTTTATATCTTCGTTTTTCACACGTGACTTCGAAGTCAGCTGTTTGTCGAAAATTAAATATATAACGTATATCAGCTAATATGACAGATTCGAGTTCACGGATGAGTCGGAGCAGCAGGAATTCTATAGTCATGTTACGGTGATGTCGGATTTTATTTTCAGCACGCGGTGCGAAATTGATGATAATTCCATGCTGCTTAATCATCTGGCGCATCCGGCGTAAGGCGTGAAGTATCTCGCGCGCGAGCTTGCAATTAAATAATCTCGCACCCCTTTCTCTCTCATGCCCGCGGCTCGCTCGTCGCTCCGCGCGCAGCGCCAAACGAGACTGTAATTGTTATAATTAAGCGCGAGGCGCATTCACTTATCGCACAATTATTCCGCCCACTTTTCCGCGTCGATACGCCGCGCGTATTGTTTGCCGTGAAAGACACGCGCGCCCAACGAATGATTAATTAACATACGTCACCTTTTTTACTTTTGGTAACCCGAGAAACTTAATATTATAAGATAACCCCCAAGGCAAGCTGGTTTTATAATTATTTCTTATCGCGAGGGTGCACTTTAATAGCGAGGCTCACGCCTCGCATCGTTATCGTTAATCGGTTGTTAACAATGATAGAATGAAAGGAAAAAGAATTACGTACGACGAAGTATGCATTTTAATGAAGTGCAGCCGTGTGCTGCAGAGCATCCTTGGTCGCTCGGATCAACGCGCAGTTTCGATCGATCGATAAATCATGCGCAGTCGCTACTCAGAACGCGTTCCCCCTACTTGCATGTACCTGTCTCTCTGTGGCGAGATCTTTTCGACAAGCAATCGATCGACCTTATTCTCTCTCTATCTCTCTTTTTCTTTGGTAATTATATCGATTATATTCCAATTACGGTGTGGTCGGGCGCCGTTGATCGCGTAAAAAAAGCCTGCCACTCCCGCAAACACGACAGAAACGTGTTAATCTGTAGTGCCAGATGATCGATAAAAAGAGATGTGGTCGATATTTATTGAAGAAATATTCTGTGAAATTGTAACCTTTAATTCTTTTCTCAACAATTTGTAATAACATTACTTTAGTTAACAAAACAATAAAAAAAATGTATTATTTTTGTTGCTCTACTTGTCTTAATATTATCTATTTGTTATTACATAATTAAACATATTTTTATCGTCAAATTTATAATCAAAATTTGCATTTGTTTCCGTTTCTTTACAAAGAACTAAACTCATTAAAGCAATTTAATTTCGTGTATAAATGCAAATTTCATATTGCATAAGAAGAACGTATAAACAAGATAATAAAAATAGATGCTTATCATGTGTAATTATTGTTTCTGTCCGCACGGATACTTATTTATATATGTGATAAGATTCCGAGCGTTTGCAAGATCTTGATTTCTAGATCAGAATACGCAATACGCTGTGCAAAACACAGTCGAGCAGACATTTAATTACTGTCCAATGTGCAGAACCGTATTATGAGCCTTATTATCTCTGAATAATTACCGTACCGCGGTGTTATAGGTGAAATCAATCTCGCTCGAGATCGATTAGTTGTGATTTCGCTCAGTTGCGACCGCCATACGAAATCGATTTCATTTTTCGGTTTTTACATTTTACTACGAGAAACTAGACTATGCAAGTTATTGCTCTTTGCGCGCGTGTTATAAAGATTATTACGTCCGTGAAAAATATTCTATATTGGAAAACACGGCGATTAAAACCACCGGCGCGATGGTAGAAACAAAAAATGCATCTCGATGAAATTGAGATCATATCGGGCATCAAATTTGCCGCTTCGAACTCGTTAATTGAGTTGCTGATTTACTTCGCGACTTACATATACGTTCTTTTCGCGCAAAAACCTGCATCTTTCTCACACAATCAAACAGCTTTGTAAAATGTATGTCATTTGAGTCACAAAAACTTCAATAATTACAATTCAGATATTTAAAATAAACATGTCAATATTAATTTAATACACAATTCAGCTCGTAAATCTTTTCTGCAAATGACAAGAGCAACTCATTAGATTCAAGATTTGTGTTACCAAATAGGTTAATAAGTTGCATGTAGCATTAATCAAAGTAAACATCTATGCAATTATTTCGAGATCTGGATTTCACCTTTCTTTCGCAGTGACAAGCACGCGACGTGCGCGAATCGCAATCGCAGCGGGTGTCGATCTAATTAAAATTACGGCAGGTAGACTCATTAGCCTACCACGTTGCAACGCCGATATAACTTACGGTTCCGTCAGAACAGCGCAGCAACCGACCAACGTCGCCAGGTAGTTAACGAAGGCCTGGCCCAGGTAATTGTCTGCGGCTGCATATCGCGCGCCGTTACATTGTAAAACGCCCCTCATTGATAGGCCTTTCCGAACACTACGCTGCGCGATGATGTTAGGTTTTCTCTAGTGCCACGGAGACCGTGACTCTTTCTCTCTCTCTCTCTCTCTCTCTCTCTCTCTCTCTCTCTCTCTCTGGATTGAAAAGAGAATATGCGCTGTTCGCTGCTTGCTTTTCTCCTCCCGCCTCCAAACCGATCCATTGTTCCCTGGACCAGTCTAGAATTGAATTTATGCCGCTATTAATTGGCTTCGTTTCCGTTCTTATATTTCAATCGTTCATTTCAGACCGCACGAGCCCCTGAATCAAAGAATCTAGATCGTTAAGATAGATACTTACTCATGTGTTTGTAAACTTGACATCCGCAATTTTTAATCACTTGTTATGTGTTTTAGAAAACATTTTCTCTGTTTTGTTTCTTACATCTGAAACCTGATGACTACTTTAATTTATAGATTATCTGTGTAATAATGCTTCAATAAAAGATAATTAGTCTCGAACTGATGTTGATGTTAGATAGAGACGAAGAAACAACAATAATAACGAAAGATTGATACGATACCGGATTGACTCTCGATTTCGAGATCGAGTTGCGTCGTTATATGCATCGTTTATGCGGGTTGGCTTGGACCACCGAGCCAAACAGAGTGATCGTAACAAAGTTGTGAGCAACCGCGTGCTGGCGCGATGTTGTACACGTGGACATGGGAAATAAAGGCGATCGAGCTGCGCAGCGCGCGTACAAAGTTTGCACGCGCGCGCTCTACGCCGATTACCGATACCGCGTAATTTATTGCTCCGTATTCGCGAAACGTGACGCCGTGGCCCCCGTCTCTCGTAAAGTGCTTCCAGTTCTGAGTCACGGAACCCGGCTGAATTTTTGTCCAATCGGGAATGTCGATAGCTTTTGTGCGGCGGCGGCACCATTCGAGCCGAACGAGCCGCTCGTATATGTGCCCCGCACATACACGAGCAAGACGTCCGATATATAGTCCAAAGATAACGACCCAATAACTCTCTAATATTCGCTTTTATCGATACCTCATTGCCCTTCGATAGCTACGTGGCCTATTTTTCTACGAAAATCGATGAGACGTACGGGAGTGGCTCGAAATATTTTCCACTTTGCGTATCTTCAAACATATAACACACCCGAGGCGACCAAACTCTCTCTCAAGAATGCGACTCACTACACAAAATTTGTAATAAATTATGGAGAAGACCGTGGACCACCCAAGACACCACGCGCAGACTTTACATAACTGTACGCGATTCGCGCGTGCAACACATCACCGCATGTCGATGCGAAAGGAGCAACGCACGAACGCGTGACTCCACAGAGGCATGCAAAATCCCCTACCGTAGGTGTACGTGAGAGGACGATAGACGATCGGTAGGTAGGCTTGCTATTTGTCGAGATCCTATCTACATGAGTGTAGCGAGTTATTACAGGCAGAAGGACGGTCTTCGTGTGTATCGAGACGAAAGACCGTGAAAGCAAGGAGCCAGTCTTCTCTGTGGAGATTTTTTTTTTTTTCTATCGCCTCGATTTCACAAAGTTAGTTTCGCACATTTTCTTTCCGTTCGATAAAGTTTCAATTTCACTCCCGTATAAGTAGCACACATCGACGTTTAAAATATATTAATTTTTTAAATAAATTTTCTTTTTAAGTAAAATATAGTAATTTCTGTATGTGTGTGTGTGTGTGTGCGCGCTTTTCTGTAATTTATCTTTTTTTTAGTAAAATATTTTCACAAAAATTAACGCTTTGTAATAATTTAATATTATTTAATTTTATTATATTATTTAATTTTATTTAAATTGTCGTATAAATATTCCACAACTTTCAGTTGCACATAGAAATTGAATAATAAAAATCTATTTTCTCGTGTCAATCTAACGAATTTTATTAAGTCAATCGAGATATGATCGATGATCTTTGATTTAAAAAAAAAACTCACGAACTGAAAAATAAATTATCGATGACATCGTGTAAGGATTTATTCGCCACAAACGATGCGGTGCTGTCTCGAAAGTATCGAGACAGCAACAACCGCGGTCGGCGGCGCCACGGCATTCATCGCGCTCGATTCAAAACCAATAACCTATTCCTAGTCATTTCGCGAATAGTAATATAGACAGCAATATTGCGTTTTGATGTGTGTACGACTACGTTGCTACTCGCTAGACAGACGGCAATTTCTCAATTCTCAGCAGCTCTCTACGTATTTCTGACGATCGGAAATATAGACACTTGACATTTCACGTCAGCAAAGGAAAGTGTTAAGTTATCGTGTAAACCTCGCGAGATATTACGTCGTTTATTTTATCCCGCGACCAATACAAACGAGAACTCCAACTTCTATGTTGTCTCGCAGCTTTCCCGCATTGTTCGATGTCCTTCGACGAGCGGAAGAAAACAAGTCACAGACGTGATTTAGTGATACGTCGGGATAGCCCCGTGTAAGAGGCCACGGAAATGATTAATTCCGCGGTAATGACCGGTTAGTCGCTTCGGATTAGTTGTACGACGAGAGCGTAGAGAGGAGGTTTCCGTAGAGCGTCTGAGATTTGTGCGTCTGGAAGATACGACGTATAATTCAACGGTTCCGACGGCAGCGCACTCGGACAGTTACAACTGCGCCACGGAAAAAAATTTTCCGACCGCGTCGTTAATAATTCACTGAAACCGCGTGCGTGTGTAGTGACGTCGAAGAAATTGCGCAATATTACAACCGGCTAGAGATGTTGAACATCTCCGATGCCAGTAGCTATCGTGGTAACTCAATACTTGCCGGTTTTCCTGTGAATGCAATTAGAACTTTCTTCATTACGCGTTATCGAAGAATAACTTCCAATCAAAACCGCGACCGGTGATAAAAAAAAAAAAACGAGTTTCTTCATCAAAACGATTAACAAATATATACGTATCACAATTTGATTTGACGATTTATGACGGACACTCAACGTTTATTAGAATTGCAACTTTCTCTTACGCGAGGTGAGCGAATGTAAAAAAAAAAAAGCGCGATGGTTATTGAATCGTTGAATGTAATTATGAGCGCAGTAAAGCGCTGGAAGCTTCGCATTAGCGCCTTATGAAAGTGAGATACGCGCTCGTAACGAGAATAACCGTTGCTACCGTAATTGAAAAAAAAAAAATAGTCACTTTCGGCGTGAGACACGGGGAGAAAACTGTAAAAACAAATTACCCCGACTAAGTGGGTAGCATATAAAGTGTGCCGTGGCGGACGTGGGCAAGAGTGGGCAGCGGTGAGACGTGGGTGCGGTTCATCACCGGTTCCGTCGTGTTATGCGTCTGTCTTCGCAACTACGAGGAGCCACTCCGTCTGCCTGACTTCTTTTCGTTCGCCATTTTTCTCCAAAGCCTCGTCTCGCGGAACATCGCTCACAGATGCTAAAGCGAATAAAACGTGGGAGTTGACGCTTCTGTCGATGTTCACCAGCAAAGAGTATCAGTACAATCAGACCACATTATATATATATAAATCAATATCAAACACAAAGTATTGAACAATTCAAAAACACTGGACTTTCTTAACCCCACAGGTGAAACATCTCCCCTATGGACCCTAAACATATGTACTTCTACTGACCCTCAGTAAATAATTGTAAACTTGTATGTATGCAGAAACAAGGGAGAGCAACCCGTATATAGCGACACTTGTCAATTTATTCTCGCTCGTCGCATAAGCTCTCATTTAATAAAAAAAAAAAAGTAATCTTCACAGAATATTCAAAAGAAGAATATAAAACTATCGACGAGATATTTAAAGAAGATATAACTATTGTTTTCAGATAAAATGTGTATAAATCTATTTAGACACTCTTATTAAAGCTCTTTGAATCATCGCCATAACCACTTCCTTCGCTTTATCGCCGCATCGCCGATATATACGCTATATCATCGTATTGTCCGTGACATCTTCTGGCATGAATTGCACCCAAGTACATCACTTCCGCTGCAGAGCCTCGCTCGCGGTCCTCCTCGTTTGTCCCGTCACGTGTCACGCAGAGTCAACGCTGTCATCCGCAGCACGCGAACGTCACGTGTTCATTGTCGACGCGAGCGAGCGAGCGAGCGAGCCGTACCCTTTTGAGAACTATTGTCTGCAAATCAGCGCGTATCGCGCGTCGTGGGACGGACAGGAGTTTCGCCAGCGATCGTCTATCTTTTCCGTTCTTAGAGTCTCGGGATTAGAGGGACGCTCTCGTTAGCCGCAGGTTTTCCGCCCGTCCGTTCGTTCGTTCGTTCGTTCGTTCGTTTGCGGACGGAAAAAGATACCCGCTCCGCCAGAAACCAGTACTTCGAGCACCTTATCTGGATAAAGCGAGCGACTCCAAGAGAAAAATCTCCCGCGCTTTGCGAACTAGGTTTCGAAATGGACTTGTATCTGATAAATGTGCACATTCGTAGTGTAAACGGGAATGGTCGTATACGACTCTATTATCGGCGCACACAACGTGTATCCCTGTGTGTCGTATATGACCCGAGTTTGTGCAGGAAGAAAGATATGACGTCGGGCGTAAATATTGGAAACTAAACGAATGCCGACGAAAATGCTATGGAAAACACAGAATTGTAAAGCGATAAGCAGGAAGAAGACGTTATCGATACATTGTATAGATATCGATTGATATTTTTTTTTTTAGCGTTGTATTTAGTTACAACATACACACGTAACATTATTGTTTGTTATTTAATCCTAGAATTGATCAACCAACACGCTACGATTTAAATTATTTGAGGATAAACATGAGGATATAATGATAGTGCGGTCGACCATAGTAAAAGTAGCTCTTTGGCAACGTTTTTATTCTCTTCTGCTTTTTCCGACAAGCGAAAAATTAACGTATTATCGATGTATCGCGAGACATCGACGATTAAAGAAAATCTTGTCTCTGCATCGTCATTTATCGCCGCGCATAGTATATCTCTGACGCCAATAGACATCCAATTTTTAATTAAATACAGCTTCATTAGATTCTGATATACGGTGACACGTAGCGGCGACACATGCGTGTCTTGCAACGCGCGAATGTTTACATGCCGCTTAATAGCCTGCGGGCCCCACTCAATGTATCAATACGCCATTAGCGGATCGTTATGTACGATCGCTCGTAACGCGGCTTGATTCGGTAATATAGCTATAGTAAAAAGTAACAGATGATGTATAATACTTTAAAAAAAAACATTTTTGTTAATAATAATTATATATAAATTGCAAAATTATATTTCCTTAAATTGTTGTAGAAGATATATCTCTTTTATGTAAAGAAGATGTATCTGTGACGGATGCGATCCGGCTAGAGAACGTATCTTTATCCGCGCTATCATCACATCTGCGTATGATGGCGCTAATTGACATTCGCGGCGACGACGCAACATAATATGGCGAGTGACAATTTTTTGTCGCGGCAGCTTCATTAACGTAAGGCGATACGCGTCCGTTGGTATCATTGACTAACGACATCTCCGACGAGATTGCCGTGACGAGTATCGATACGCTATTATAGCCAATCGCTGTACGATCGGTCGCAACCGCGCGTAAGTACGGCTAATTAATCCGATAATATGACCCAGTTAGTGCCGAGTTGTAACAACGTGCGTAAAATGCATCGCGGAATGTGCGGAACATTCCGCGATGCATTTTACGGTCCTGTCTCACTGGCGCGGCAGCGTGTTGTACGGCTCTTTCACTTAACAAACTGAATTACTTAATTGATATTCATTGAATTTCTGCTGTTGTGTGTGACAGAATCTCTTTCATGAAGTCACACACGTAAGTTTTGATTTAGCTTTCGTACGTAAAAGCGCCACTTGCTCGAATGTATATTTATATCTAGCAATAATATATTATTATTTATTATCTCTGTACACAAATATGTAATACATAAA